CGTATAACCGTTGTTCGGTATGAAACTCCTTCTAGGGCATTTGTGTGTTTTCTCTTTGATTTTTCTTCACTAATAGGCTTCTTGCTACCTCGCTGTTACTACCTGAGCCGCATACTCATTAAATTTGAACGCGGGCGCTGCCTTTAAGGGGAGATATTCGCATTCAGTACGAATTGGCGGCGTAAGGCTGGTGAAGTGGTGGCAGCGTGGCCGAGTGGATACGTCGTAGGGCTCACGAATGCGTGGTCGAGGGTTTGGATACGTGATGCATGTGCCCTTTTGCGTTTTTCCGAAAAAGGTCTCTGTACACTTGGAAGCTATGTTGTATAACCCTTGTGCCTCATAATGTCGTGACGTAACGTTTCTGAACTGATGGAGCTATTGCGAACGATTCCATGGAGAATATTTTCTGGCTGTTGACTTCTTCTTTCTTTGATTTGAAAAGCATAAAAGTGTATTCCAGTGAATGATGCTGCCTTGAAAATGACGTTATTCTTCAAATGGCATGACTGGAAATTGAATCCAAAGCCGCACGAAGTTGTGCGCGAAAATAAGTATAATTGGGGTAAAACCTTCATTCACTACTCACTTAGTGTTGAAAGATGTCTATCCCAAATTGTTTCGCACCTGCTGGAAGTTTTCGGTCCGTATGTCAATCTCCTCAGCAGCAGTGACCTCTATGAAATCGTTCGCAATAGCTCCATCAGTTACATTACGTCACGACATTATCAGGCACAAGAATTACGCAAACATTTTGAAGTGCACAGGGACCACTTCCGAAAAAATGCAAAAGAGCACACACATCAAGGATCCAAACCCTCGACCACGCACTTGTGCCCTACCATGTATCCACTCGGGCATGCTGACAAGGTCGCATAAGCAGCACGCCGCCGATTCGTACCGAATGCGAATATTCTCTCTCCCCCTAAAAAGCCCCGTAACTTCCTTCTGGGAGGTCCGCAGCAGATATGGAAAACGGCCTCGTAATCTCCGTCCGAAGACTTTTCACTCAGTATACACTTCACTTCAAAGGCCACTTCGACCTACCATCCTTCCCTTGTGAGGTTGAACGACCCCGGCAATAAAAGCTAGTTGAACTGGACTCTAAAAGCGAGGCCGCTTGTCGGGAAGTTGAGAGGTTGGCGCTCATTAGACGCAGGAACATCAAAGTCCATGCATTCAGGAAACGTGTTGGGAAGAAGCGAAGGCGCGCGATATTGGGGAGGAATCCAACTCTTTTACAATGGAGGATATATCAAACGAATGGTGTGGCTATAGCGGTGGCAGAATCCCTCAAGGGCTGCGTCTCCTCTGTGAACAGGATCAGTGATTCAGATCATGGGAGTGAGAATAGACACGAAGAAGGGGTACTGGACAGCATGGTCGTGTACGCATCACAATCCGGTTGCTCCGAGCTGTAAAATAATGAGCTCCACCTGACACGGGACGAGGCTTAAGATCGGTTCCGGAAGGCGACTGCGCTACAAGATCGATTCAAAAAGATGACTTCAAGGGTGCATGGAGGTCGAGGAGCAGGAGCAAGGAAGGCGGGAGATCGGATTCTTGACTAGCCACAGCACACAACTTAGCAGTCTGCTGCACCTTTTCCGTGAAAAGAAAGGCTCAGAAGATAACCTACAGCAGAGGTGGAGAAACAAACGGAAAGCGAAAGAGTCCTAGCAAGAAGGTCACCTCTCAAAACCGTCGAGGATATCAAGGTACTGCCTAGGAAAAGAACGGCTCTCAGCACAGAACACTCCTGGCATACTTAGCCATAGATCTCCCCAAGAAAGCGATGGTAAGAACCGAGTGGAAAACTCGGTGGTGGAAAATGCACAAGGTGGAAAAAGGTAGCCTGGGCCGAAAAGTACTGGAGGCTGACCACCGAGAGCAACATGGGCCAGTCCAGGAAACGTGGACCAACGCAGCAGAGGTCATCCTACAGTGTGCAAGGGAGAGACGCGGGGAGACCTGGGAGAAAAGCGAGGTGGGATCAGAGGAGACAAGGCAGCGTGGTTCTGGAACGGAGAAGTCCAGGGAATCATCAAGCAGAAGTAATGAGCATAGAAACGCTGGCAGAAAGCAAGGAGCACAGAAGACCTCGCTGCCTATAAGAGCTGTAAAGTACTCGCTGAGGCAGCCGTTGCCAAGGCCAAGAATACGGAAATGGGCGCCCTATACGAGAAGCTGGAGGGCCAGAGGGGTACAAGTTCGTCTTATGCCTGGATAAAGCCCAACATCGCGCGGTTTGAGACATCGAGGTAGTAATAATTGTGAAAAGCAACAACGGTGCCGTTCTCAGGAAACCAGCCGAAGTCAGAAAAAGACTGGAAGAATACTTCCAGGGACTCCTGAACGAGGAATTCCTTTACAAGGACTGCCCACAGATGGAGGCGACGGCAGGTCTCATCATTTCCTGGACGGAGAATGAAAACCACCGAGACTTGGGAAGACTGAATGTCGAAGGGTAAACACTCAGTATCCATAGTTCAGATGGAGTAGCGACAGACGCATGGGAGGCCCTGGAGAGCGTGCCGTAAGTTGGCTCATCCACTTCCTGAACAAAGTAATAGCCGAAGGAAGAATACCGGTTGCGTGGAGGAGCAGGACAATGGTCCCCCCCCCTTCGAATGAACGCGGAGGAGTGCTCCAACTCTCGCGGCAAGTTGACTCCGCCTACGCCTACCATGAAGCTGTACGAGCAGCTAGTCAACACAAGGCTCAAGGAACTTGCCCCTATCTCACAGAAACAGTTCGGCTTCATGCCCGAAAGGTTCACCACTGACACCATCTCCATCGCCAGACAGGTGATGGAGAAGTACCGAGAAAAGCGGCGACCCTGCTACTTAGCCTTCCTAGACCTTGAAAAGGCATTCGACGGCCTGCCTCGGCCTGTACTCTGGAAAGCGCTTAGAGAACGTAACGTTCTGAAACACCTGGTTTCCATAGTGAGGACATGAGCGATGGTGCGGGCAGATGTACGCACCCCGCACGGCTTCACAAAGGCGGTAGACATCACGGTATGGTACACTAAGGATGAGCCTACAGCCCGTTCCTCTTCCTCCTGACTCCGGATGTCATGGCAAAAGAACTCATAGGTGAGAGGAGGAGCACTGTGGATAACCTACGCTGTGGACATAGACCTGACAGCGGATATCAGGGAAGAACTCAAGACATGGTGCAGCGGTGGCAGGATGTGCTCGCTCAGGATGACTGAATGTAAAAAAAGAACAAGTTCCTGAGCTCTGGAGAGTGCGTTGAACCCGACGTAGACCGCCATGACGCAAAAGGGTTGAGGATTTCTAGTACCTGAGAAGCGATCTATCAGCTGATGGCAGCGTGGAGCAGGCGGTAAAAGCAGGAATCAACGCAGCCTGGATGAAATGGAGTGAGTCAACAGGTATCCTCTGCGAGCGGTGGTGCTCGAGAACGCTTGAAAGCAAGGTATACCAGGCAGCAGTTAGGCCTGCGATGCTCTACGGCAGTGCTGATCCATATGCACGTACCACGAAAGGCAGTTCCACTCAGCTGGAACGAGAATGCTGAGGTGGGCCTGCGGCTGGACACGAGTAGACAGAGTCAACAATGAAGAGGTCACCAGTCGCACAGATGGCTCAATCCAGCTGAAGGCATGAGATGGCATGGGCACGTATTGAAGAGGCCTGAGGACCATATAGGATTTTGAAGTATAGGGGTGGCGACCACGGGGAGACTTGAAAAAAAGATGGAGGAACGTCAACAAAAAGTACCTCACTGAAGTGACGCCACGGCAGAAGAAGAAGTGAATCGGAACAAGTGACGACGCCTTGCAAGAACAGCGAACCCTGCGACGGAGCGGGTGAAACGCTAAGGAGAAGAAGGCGGTGGAGAAATACCAACATGCAAGCTGTAGAGAAATAGCGGAGCAACTTAATAGAAACTGTATGACAGGGAAGCTTTTGAAAATAGCAGGCTACAGAACCACATGAACCACATGAATTGACAGAAAATTTTGACTGACCGAATTACAGTGTTGTTGTGAGTGGTAAGATGTTAAAATGAAACAAAACCTACTCGTAAAACGATGATTAACGTTGGGCAAAAATGGCTGAAACACGAAAACATTAACGCAAAAGAACGCAACCACCTCCTGGCGACCCTCCGTTGACGACAAAAAAAGCGTGTTTGGAGGGATTCGTAGGAAAATACTACTGTGAGCTGTTGCAGTCTGGCGAAATTATTGTTGTGACGTCTGTCGCGATATTACAACATACTGGGCGGAGCTACACCCAAGTATAAAAGAAGGGAACAGCCCCCTCAGGGGGAGTGGTGTTGTGTCCTGGTGCAGACCCGTAACATCTGGAGATCTTGCTACCTAGTGCCTTGAGTAATAGGACTGCACGTGATTATTGATGATACTGGTGCTTACAACTAGCTCTCAATAAAATAGCTGGCTTCTATGAATCCTGTAGAGGAGAGGAATAACAACATTACGCATCGGAGATCGACCCACTACCACAAACCCTCTCGTTCCTCTCAGATAACAATAAATTATGATATCCCTACTGCATTACCGACCCCATCGTCGACATTTCTCGTTACAGTTAAATCATCCAGAAATCATGCATGAGGGGCATAACCACGAGTGTTGACCGAGCGGTCGAATAGAAGACGCTTGTTACCACTAGTTGAGGACTAATGCGCATTTTTTGAGTCCGTTAATAAGCAATAACGTCACAGTATATGCATTCACCATTTGGGAAGCCACGAGGTCGGACGCAACATGCATGCCGCAAAACACGCACTTTCACAGGCTGTAAACTAAGCACGCTTATCTGATTTTCACGCATAAAGTAATGTATAAAAACGGTGACACGTGAGCACTTTAACTTACGGTTTACTTTAACAAGTCTCGTTCTATGTCAACTATGTCGCTATTTAATCCGTAATGGCATTAGGCCATTTAAAACGACGAATGAGACGACATCTCAATGATGTCAAAAATTATTATTAACTGCCAAATGTACAGAGAAGGTTGGTTTTTGCCAGCGCAACGTAACGAAGTTGTGGCGTTTATTCGTGTTCACAGATCTTCAGTAACTCCTATCGTAGATGTGCTTTTGCAGAAAACCTCCACGATTATCGAAATATACGGTCGAGCAGTCCAAGTGTCCCAGAGCAAAAATTCAGTCTACCTGACACAAGTACTGGGAAAACCAAGATGGATTACGTACCACACAAAATGCATTTGCCTTGGTTGTCGCTTTCGAGATCCGCCTCGCAGAAGTCGAAATGTACTATATTTATCTTTATCTGGGTATGCATTAAGTGAAAAGCACCAAAACACGTAACATTCTCACGAAATTCCATTTGTTTTTGAATTAAGGTCATGAGTACCGTACCCCTTGAGATGTCAAAACTAGCACTGCGCGCATTACACTGGTTTTCCCCATGAAATTTCATTACAGTGTGAAGTAGGGAGAAATTTTCGCACGTCCATGAGGGTGTAAAGTACAAAGCGTAAGAGCACGCACGGAGAGCCACGTCATATTACACTATACGGGCGCAGTATAAATACCGGATCAGGCGTCCTGACGGATTCATACCAGTATTGCTTCACGTTTTCTCTTGACTTTGATTCAACCCTACCGGTTCATGGACTTTCCGTCCTCCACATTAACCACTTCTAAGCAGAGTTTAAGCCGTCATTTGAACGATGTAAGTGACATGCTGTCGGAATGCGTGATGTATCAAGAGTCCTAGAACTCCCCTGCTACACGTAAAGAATTCTATGTTTATATACATCCTTACCAAAATATCATTCGTAATATCGTGATGAAAATCGAAACAAAACGTGAAAAATTACGACCATTTATGGGGAAACTCTGGTAAACTTCGAGAAAGGTATCTTCCCAGAATCTGACCATGCTAAATTTGACGCATACTGGAAAGAAAAGCAAGGGAGCAAACTCTTAGAGAACACGCAAAAACTTCTCCAAAACTTTGATATGCGCGAAAACGAACTGGCTCTGCAAGACATGCATACTTCATACTCAGACGAATTCGATAGCCTGCGCAATAATCAGACCAGCGCCCATACCACTTCTGCTCAGACTCAACCCTACCACTTGTCCCGCCGTTTGGGACATAGCTACAGTCTTCGCCAACAACTATTCCAGCACACTGGTACCAGAAACAGTTACGTAAGCTACAATCTTCGCCAACACCTATTCCAGCACACTGGTACCAGAAAGAGTTACGTACACTGCGTCCCAAAAGTATACTTCCACCCATAAATCTCACACTATCCCTCCCTACACGACGTTTTCAAAAAAAAGCCTCTTAAAATGTGACAGTTACCAGAACCAATTTACATGCCAACTCCGAGAACTGACTTTCCAGAGTAACTTCAACTTTCTTTATTTTTTGAAAATTTCTCACTCTGATAACGTCCCACAAGTATACTTCCACCGCATATTTTCCCAATGCGTCTCATTTATTTTCGGGTAAAGTTTCTCATCATCACTACTTTTGACCTTTTCCAGGTTATGGCGAGAGGGCTTTCACTGTCTTACTTCGAAAAGGGCAGATTACCGCAAAGAAGGCTCAAGGACTGTCGAACCGTCAAAAGTTGGGCCGCATTCATTATGTTATCAATCATTTTGTCAGGGATCCCGCAGGATATGGAATCAGGAAGAGTTCTGGGCGTCCTCCTTTGCTGTCTGAACGAGATAAACGGCGTATCCTGAAAGAAGCGTCCAACTCCACGAGGTCACGCAGGGAAATAAAGTCATCTCTGAAACTCAATGTCTCGAAAAATACTGTTTGGCGTCTCATGAAGAAGTCAGAGTTCATCATCAGAGAGAAAATGAGGAAGGCACCCTTTGTGACAGAATGCCATCGCGAAAACCGACTCTCCTTTGCTAGAATATGCTGCCGACCGACCGGGCAAAGTTAGCTTTCGGCTGCGGTGCCCCTCTGCTTGTCTTTCCAGTTTTTTCTCTAGGTGTGTTTTCCGATGAGAAGAAATTCAACTGCGATGGCCCAGATGGAAACGATTTTACTGGCACGATCTGAGGAAAGATAAGCTCAATTTTTCGAGGCGGAACTTCAGAGAGGTGGTGTCATGGTGCTGCGATGCATCAACGGGACGTTTGAAGCTGTGCTTCGTATCAAAGAAAATGAACTCTTCCGACTACGTAGAAGTAATGCGACGAGTCTGTTACCTTTCTGGCGAAGGATACGGCATGAAAGTCCTGTATTCGTGCAAGACAATGCACCAATTCATGTCAGCCGAAGCACTAGCGTGGTTCAGCCGTCATCAAATCACTCTTTTGCCCTGGCCAGCGAATAGCCCAGACCTAATCCCCTATCGAGAATGTTTGGGGCTTCACGGTCCGCAGGATATACGCGCACAATGCGCGATTCGAGAATGTCCGTTCGCTCAGGGAGGCTATCATTAATGCATGGCACCATGTCGACAAAACACTTATAGACCACCTCTATCCGAGCATGAACAACCGCATTTTCGAACTTATTCGAAAGAATGGGGCTGCAATAGATTATCGAAATGACAATTTATCAAATTTGTTGTACACTTGTTGTTTTCTGAATCTATTCGTTTAGTGGAAGTATACTTGTGGGACATTGTCAGAGTGAGAAATTTTCAAAACATAAAGAAAGTCGAAGTTGCTCTGGAAAGTCAGTTCTCGGAGATGCCATGCAAATTGGTACTGGTAATTACCACATTTTATACCTAGAGGCTTTTTTGAAAACGTCGTGTAGGGAGGGATATTGTGAGTTTTATGGGTGGAAGTATACTTTTGGGACGCAGTGTATATCAGACTTTTACGGGAATCCCACTGAATTCGAAGCATTTGGGGAGATTTTCTCCGAACTCGTACATAAACAACCATGTACTGCAATCGAAAAGCTCACTATCCTTTTAGATAAATGCAAAGGAGAAGCCACACGTGCACTAAAGTATATTCCACGGAAAGGATCGTCATACAGGGATGCCATTAAATAGTTATTGGACCAATTCCAGAACGAAGAAATGAATGTCAAACTGTTACTTGCGCAATTCGACAAGATACCGCAATCCACTGAAAATGTCATACACCATAGGGCAACCTTAATGATGTTACGGCAATCATTACCCCCCCCCTCGCCGTTGCGAACAACATATAGATGCTAGGAATATGAAACTAAAGTTCTACAGGAAGTCCTCACCTGAATATTCAACGCCAAACTGCTTTTGCAAGAATATGATGAACAAAGCCCATGGACAATGCATACACTTTTTAGGCGCAATACGCCGTTTACTGTGAAGAAATACGAGATCACGCACATCCACTCAGATTCCTCCTCTCATGCTAGGAAATCTACCCATCTCTACGGTCAGACACAGCCAGCTTCAACATTCAAATGTGCCGTGTGCTTTGGCTCACACAGAATTCGGTTTTGTAACAGCTATATGACTGCTGATATAAAACGTAAGCGTGTAGAAGAGTTAGGAAAATGCTTTAAATGCTTTTCTTCCATGCACACCAGCACGAACTGCAGAAAACCTGATTGCTACAAATGTCAGGGTCCGCATAATATGCCCTATGTATAGCTGCTAATTATAGGAGCCGAGTGTTAGTAAGGAGCGAAACAACAGGTCGCAGTCTCGAGAACAGAAGACCTCCGCGTAAAGGAACGGCGAGACAGTAGCGCAAGTTGGTCTCAACAGCCATTCCGTAAATCTTCTGAATACAACTCTCGGGTACTTCTTCCCCGTCGAGCAATCCCCAGTACTTCTCCCCACCGACAATGGAGACGCCCTCGATCTTGACTCCAATAGCGCGTATCCACGATCGGTGATAGAATCGTCCCAGTAAACGCAACCATGTACACCAATGTCGCCAAAGAATTTCCAGAAAAGAAACCGTCCACCTATATCGTACTACGGTAAGTTCTGCAGATATCAACAAACGTAAGTGAATTTACGTTACTCTCGATACTGGCGCAACTCGAAGCGAAGCCAAATTTGGTGGGAAACAAGAGAAAAGAAGGTCCACGAAAACCATAGCGCACGCGATAGATTCCTTAGGTAATTATTTTACCATGCGTTTGCTAACTATAAGCCAAATATCGAACAGCATCACTCTCCACCCTTTATCGAAAGAAGACATCCAATTTGCTCGTAAACGTATCATCGCTTGCGACAGCCTGCTAAACAGCGTATCCACCGAACTAAGTCCTGAGGTTTTCATTGGGATCGATTACTATAATGATATCATTAACTGAGATATTAATCCCCTTCGCTTCCCTTCAGGGCTTTTGGCCATTCCCACCGTTTTTGGTCACACAATAACTGGTTCAGAAATGACCCACAAGGACAGAAGGCCTTTCTGCAAGAAGGTATCTTCATGACAGTTTACCAAATAGGGACGACTTCCCTGATCCAACCGTACTGTGGAGATTGAACGGACTAAGCATAACAGATGATATTACCGAAAATGAGGAAGATAGGAAGGTACTGGACGATTTTTATAGAAACGTCGAAATCAGGAACAAGAAAATATTCGTCAAATTCCCATTCCCAACAAAATGGATCTGGACAGTAACTACAGATTCGCATTAATTGAACTATATTGACTTTATACCTCGTTCCAAACGAAGCCTGCTATCTCGACTCAATATTGTAATAACATTGAGGAACAGTTCGAAAGAGGGATTATTAAGATGCTCCTTACAATTAGATCTCGACCGAATGTCCCGTTTACTATATTCCGCACCAAGCCGTAATAAAACCAAGTAGTACTACAACGAATGTGCGTATCGTTTTAGATGCAAGTTCGAAAAGGGTAGGACAGTCATCTCTCAATGACGTCCTTTATCAAACCGACCACCTGCCACATCTTTTAGGTATCCTCCCGCGAATAAGGATCGGAGATTACACAATCGCAGGAGACGTCGAAAAAGCATTTCATGTGATATATTTGCACGAAACGCAACGAGACGCAACGCGTTTTCTCTGGCTCAAAGATCCGGTAGGTGCCCCCACTCCTCCGAATATTCGCCCCATGCATTTTTTTGCGTTGAGTACCATTTGGCACAAAAAGTAGCCCTCCGCTTTTGACTATGTTAATAAAGTACTTCCTGGATCAAAAAACGCCAAGAAAACTGCGCTCGGAAAACGCACGAATCTGCATGTTTATAACATTTTACTAATTGCAGACTCTGCTGGGCAAGCCGTCGAAAAATATCACCAAAGCAAAACCATACTCCAGGACATGTCGATGAATTTACGATAATTTGTCACCAACAGCGACGAAGTAAGAAAGCAGTCTCGCACGGATACAGAGCTCGAAACGTTTCGCAACTCGGTGTTCCCTGAGATTCAGTAGGTGTGCAATCGAAATCCCCTCAAGGAATATGCCCCAGAAAACGAAAGGCCCTAAAGGCAATCCAAGCACATTTCGATCCCATGGGCTTCCTCACTCCTCTTTTGATGCACGCGTGTGTTTTTTACAGGAATTGTGGATGAAAAGGTATGAATGGGATGACCCGCTCTCAGAATAAGACGTCAAAAAATGGGAGACCATAACCACCTCAGCCACGGGATTTCAAAAAACTTTTCCCAGAAACTTAAGAAGCATAAAAGGTGACGGTGATTATGAACTTTGTACGTCCGCGGACGCGTCGGCACACGCATACGCAGCCTGCGCCTATCCACGTGACATAGGCGGTTCCCTAATCCGAACACATTTAGTTTGCGCGAAATATCGTTTAGCACCCGTTAATCACTACTGGCCCTAGAACGGGTACAATACCTAAGTTGGAGCTTCTTGCTATTTTAATCGCTTTCCACTCACCGATTTTCTGCTTGAGGAATTTGAATCGAAATTGACGGAGTTAGTATATTCTCAGATAGCAACATTGCCTTACATCAAATACATTCAGGAAAGAATGCAGGAACGTTTCTTAATAAAAGAGTGAAGAAAATTAGGAAGCTCTATGAGTCATGGGAGTGAAATGTTGTCGAAAGTTTTTACTATGTCAACACAGATAACAATCCTGCAGATTGCGCCACTAAAGAAGTTGACGACGAACATTTTCATAACCACTATTGGTGGCAATGACCTGAATTCCTTAAAGACACATAGTACGCTCATACACATTGAGGTTGTGTGAGACTATCAGCCCCCCAGATGTCGATGTGTCGTGGTCCCCCCGCCCAATCATGCCCAGGAATGGAGATACAGGGCCGTGAAACACGCTAATTCTTTCCATGCTCCACCCACTGCCTTTTTTACGGCGCAGATTCCCGCCGTTCTGAACATCCGTCCGTAAGCGCGCCTGTCGCGTGCGGCTCCTTGGCACTTTCGCCAAATCCTTTAATTGAGCTCTCAAATACAGGAAAACGCAATTTCCTGATGCGGATAACATTGGAGGTGCTACAAAATAAGAGCAGAAGATGATGACAAGGGGCAGAACTCAAGAGCAACCCGGCTGCATTTGCAGTATCCATCAAGGGCCGCGCATTCCCACAAAGCATGAAAATAAAAACAGCCCAAGCGTCCCACTCGTTTGCTCTAAGTATTTCTATGGCTTCGGCGCCGGATCGTAGAAATTTACAGGCCAGTTTATCTAATTTGCCTTATCCTTGATTTTTTCATTTTGTTTTGTTTACATTTACATCGTTGTGCTTCATTTCTAGCCTGTGTCATCTTCATCTCCTTGTACATGGATTTTTGAAGCATGAGCAAACCTTAAATTTTATTCGCATCAAGAAATTGCGTTTGTATCAAACTAACAAGTATGCCCTTCTTATTTTCATGTTTCGTGAACATACGCGGCCTCGAGGGATGTTGCAGAAGTGTCACAGTTGCTTTCAAGTTCTGACCCTCGTCATCATCTTCTGCTCTTATTTTGTAGCACCTCCAATGTTATCCGCATCAGGAAATTGCGTTTTCCTTGTATTTGAGAGCTCAATTGAGAGGACTTGGCAAAGTGCCAAGGAGCGCACGCGACAGGCGCGCGCTTACGACGGATGTTCAGAACGGCGGGAATCTGCGCCGTTAAAAGGCAGTGGGCGAGCATGGAAGAATTTAGCGGTGTTTCACGGCCCTGTATCTCCATTCCTGGGCATGTTTGGGCGGGGACCACGACACATCGACGTTCGTGGGGGGGGGGGTGATAGTCTCATACACCCTCAATGTGTATGAGCGTACCATGTGTCTTTAAGATAAAGAAGAACTATGGGTAAGCACCAAAAAATTCGAAATGATATCAAGTGAATCAGAAATCGCAATGCACCTATGCGTCTAACACGTCACGGAAAAGGGACACATATTCCGTTTATTTACGGCGAACTGGGTAAGACTGACGCGATCGGTAGCTGTGGTAGTGAAATTTATTAGGAAACTATTCTAATTATCACCCCACCGCACCTTTTAGGAAAACTCTTGTCCTTGGACCATGTCGCTCCTGACTGTACCATAAGTGCAGAAGATATAATGTCTGCAGAATACGCACTACTCAGACAACATTATATTGGTATAACAAACGAACAGCTAAAATCATACGCATATCTTAATTTAGTTTTCGAAAACGGGATCTTATGATGCCACAGACGACTGGAAACTCGCAACTAGATCCCAAAACAGCTTATCCGATTTTACTGCTTCCCAATAGCAACATCATCAAGCTTATCATCAGGCACGTACGCCGTCACCAAGGCGTAGGCGGTACCTTAGCTCATTTATTGAAAGAACTGGCTAACGAAAGGAAAACAAGTCATAAAGAAAGTTCTTCGTACATGCATTATCTGCAAAAATTGCACGGTCTCCCTCTTTGCTATCCTGATCCGCTCGCCTTACCACGAGAGCCCCTTTCCCTCTTTTTTTTTCTCCTTTTGTCAGGCCCTTTTGAAAATGTAGGCATAGACTATGTAGGGCCGCTTTTAGTCAATACAAGCGCCAACCCACACGAAAAACGATGGCTTTGCCTCATATGTATGTCAACATGCGCAATACATTT